AAAAATTCAAGACGTCTTCCAGGTGGAATGTCTAACCCAATTTATATTTAAGCACAATCTTAAATATAAATTCCACAGACCTTTGTCTCCTTGTATTAGGAGGTTGCTAACCTCTGAGTTCCACTAACTAAAGAAACAGCAGAGTTAATCCTTTTTCTCACTCATGGTGGAAAATGAAGATCTGTGTTTTAAACCTGTAGATAAAAACCTGTTTTACTCTTGAGTTGCATTCCCATCCCCAAAATAATTTTTCCTACCCAGAGGAGGTCCCGCTATGATATCCAGGCATGGCTAGCTAACTAGCACTCCTAGTCATACTGAGCAATGTTGCCTTAGTCAGCCCAGTATGACAGGTGTGTACTGCCTCAGCCCACTTGCTTGCATGCAGCCCTAGGTTCATTCCTCAATACTTCGCGCGTGCGTGCGCACACACACACACACACACACACTCACACACACACTCACACACACATATCATTGGTATGAAGGTCAGAGAACAACTGTTGTAACTGGGTTTTGACTTTTCACCTTGTCAAGGCAGGGTCTTGTTCCAGTGCTATGCCCTCTACTCCCAAATAAGAGATGTAGGACAGATGAACAGATCAAAAGAGTAGGAGAGAATGGCTGGAAACGAAGGGATATAGACAGCCTTCAGAAGCTAGGAAAGGTAAGAAAAGGGTTCCTAGCAGATGTCTTGGAAGGTATAGGACTGCCTGAAGCCTGATGGCCTGAGTTTAATTCCAGAAACTCACAGGAAGAGTTAGATGTGCTGAGCCCTACCTGTAACCCAGACACTCCTACAGCAAGAGGAGGCAGAGACAGGAGAAACACCTGGAAGCTCACTGGCCAGCTAGCTTGGATTTGAGTCAATTCTTATTGTCCAAGTTACCTCCAACTACTTTCCATGGGTAATGGTGAACATAACAGATTTAGCAAAACTGGCCAAATGCTAGCACCAAAAGAGCTTCTGGTTCAGCGAGGCTGTTTTAAGAAAATAAAAAATAAAATCAAGGGCAGAGGGATCAAGAAAACACACATGGCATGAACATTGGACCTCTGCATTCACAACCATGTGTACACGTACCCGAATGCATACATACACACACTAACACCTCACATGTACACACACACACACACACAGACGTGTTTAGAGATGAAGACAAAGGAACAATATGTACAAAGGGAAAGAATCAGCAAGACAGAGAAAGGAGAGATTGAGGAAAGTAATAGAAGCAAATATAAGCAAGTTACATTGGTATATATGTTAGAAAAATGTCATAATTAAATCCATTAGTTTTATGGCAACTAAAATTTAAAGATCACAAGATGTTAAACTGACGACATGTGAAGTGCAGATGCTTTGATGTCCCATTTCTGATACTCTTTCTGTAATACTATTCTGATTAGTCATAGTGACAATCTTCAAAACAGATGAGGATTTTTTTTTTTGTTTTTTTTGTTTGTTTTCATCTGTTATCACCTTAGATGTAGAGATATCCTTATCAGTCCCCCACAGGCTAAACAATGTGGTGCTCTTGTTAGAAATCTATGATCAAAATCTGGAGTCTCAAGTCCTGACTCAGCTGCTACTGTAAGTGAACAAACCCCACAGCCTCTGGGAACTACTATTTAATAGTGAGAACTTGCCTACATCGATACCCACATGTGTGTCTCCAATGTGACTTTTCACATCATAGAGTCCTTTTCTTATTAGTATGTGCTGATTATATTAAGTAACAACATTCATTGTAATGTTTCTACATATGCATAGAAAATGCTCTTGGAGCAAGATAGAAAGACAAGGGAAGTCAAGGAGATGGGAGGCAGGGAAGAAACTCTTCCTTCTAGGGTTTCATTTGCATCAAAACTATTGACACAACTGAGATGACTAAGACTGGAGCTGGGTGTGCTGCCCCATATCTAGAACCCCAACCCTTGGGAGGTCAACTTAGTAGGACCAGAATTCCAGGCCAGCCTTAGCTATGTAGTGAGCCCAAGACCAGCCTGGGCTATACGGCAACGTGTCTCAATAAAACAAACAAACAAAAGGAAGAAAAAAGATTGTTTATGGATGGTTTGGAGATGTTATTCAGTGGTAGAGAGACACAGCACTATCAGCAAACACACACACACACAGATTGCCTACAGAGACAACATTTTCTTTTTTTCTGAGCGATATTTCAAACAAGGATGTTGAAAAAAAATAAAAACAAAACTAGCATAGCTTGGGAGCCATATTGTTGTGACCTTTGTGTTTAACACTATCAGGGTTGCTGTCCCACCTTTAAACCTAAACAATACCCCTCATGAAACTATCTTACAACTTCATTTAGAAAAACAGAAATCTTAAGCATGCATTGGTGGCACATGACTTTAAGCCTTTAATCTCAGCACTCAGGAGGCAGAGGCAGGCAGATCTCAGAGTTGGAGGCCAGCCTGATCTACAGAGTGAGTTCCAGGATAGCCAGTGCTACCCAGAGAAACCCTCCCTGTCTTGAAAACAAATCAAAAAACAGAATTCTTTTTTTTTTTTTTAAAAAAGTGTTTCTACATTTTATTTAATGTTTTTTTTTTTGTTGTACATTTTAAGATAAGGGAAATATATAATTTTAAGGGGTATATTATATTTATTGCTAAGATACCTATAAAATCTTTTCCCTCAAGCTCCACCACCCACGCTGTCTCCCTGCCCATCTTCCCCTGGCCTTCCCCCTGTGTTGAAGCTTAACTCTACTATTCTCTAATAAATTAAATACTTAACAAATTGGTTAGCTACTTAACTCTGACTTCTCCTGATATTTTTTCTGTGTCTGTCTTGAGGGTGGGCTTTACCTTCCTGGGGGTCCCAGAGTGGGAAAACTCAGGCTGCAGGAGGCAGCCATGGCTACTCCCAGCTGCTATTGCTGCTGACAATGTGATCCTCTTCATCTTTATGGTTCTCCATTGTCCTCCCTACCTCCCCTATCCTGCTCTCTAAATTTCTCCTTCTACTTTTGTGACCCTATAATAGAGCTCTGTCAACTTTGACCTGCCCTACAGCTGCCACCTATTCTCCCACATTCAAAAAAATGTGGGGGAAAAAACTCGGTATTTTCACTGCTTCTTTTCTTTTAGCTCCGCTTTCCCCTCCTCTTGGTCCTCTAAACTTCTTGGGTACATCACAGAAGAAAATAGCAAAGAGACAAATAGGTCTAAATCAAAGATATTTCAATAGAGAAAGAGCAAAAATCAAGATTCAAAGTACTGCAGCATTCAAAGAAGCAGAGAATTCTAGAGGCCCACAGGCAAATTGTACTCTGTGTTTGGGGGCGGAGGGAGGCGTGTCTAGAAAAGAGGAGAGAGTAGCCTTATGAAAGAGGTGAAATAAAGGCTTTTCAGGCTCTCGGGATCCCTTGGAAACTGGGGTATTACCCTGGCACAGTTATTAAAGCTGTGTTTTTCAAACTGTTTACTGAAAAAGGCCACTTGAGTTCAATAATCCACCTGCCTTAATGAACGCTTGTTTCAATGACCATAGTTTGAGAAAGGCTAAGAATCACTCTCTGATTTCCAACAAAGAACGACATTTTTCATTAATGCTAGTTTTATCGTATAAAAAAAAACCCCGCTGTTTTTAAAAATATTAATGATGATTTAAAACACTTAACAAAACTATAAGTTAATGTCTTTAAAATAAAAACAAAAATTCACAAATAAAAGTGTTTGTGTTCATCTAGGTCTGAAACTTAGGAAGTCCTGGCCCTGGACAAAGTGTGTCTGGATGCATTTCCTTGGGAAAGTGGCTCTCCTTTATAATATAATGTCTAATTTCCTGTGTTTGTACCAGGGCATTTCTTTTCTTTTTCCTTTTTATATGAGACCACATTGTGACATGTTTAATATTGATGAGTTTGACCTCCTGGGAGTTATAATATATGCACCCTTTTAAATACAAATGTTGTCTAATTTATATGGCAAACACATAGAATTTTGGAGATTAGCATTTTAATCAGCTTTAATCCCAGTATTTTCACTTTTCCATACCTCTCTTTCCTCTGTCCAGAAAGGTCCCACAAATCCACTTTGGAAATGACAGCTATTTCCTGTTGTTGGAGATGTGTGTGCAACAGGCACAGAGCCTGGGGAAGCAGCAGACTCACAAATCTTAGAGTGTGCAAAGCGATGATCAACGTTTTAAGAAACAGAACAGTGCAACCATTCAACAAGTATTTGAACTGGGGCCACTGCAGAAGTAGGCAGACGTGTGTGTGTGTGTGTGTGTGTGTGTGTGTGTTTGTGGTGCTGTACGTGTGCGGGGTGTGTGTGTGTGTGTGTGTGTGTGTGTGTGTGTATGTGGTGGCTGTGTGTTCCTTCCTGCCTGATTATGGCACTTCTGACCTGAAATTGGGCTTCAGATTTTCTCTCGTGTCCATTTTTTTGTCATTGCTGGTCTATGAGTTATGAAGTTTCGTGTAAATATTCCAACACGCCAGTTCTTGAAAAGAGGGCAACATTTTTTTTTCAAAGTGGAGATTAAGACCCCAGAGATAACCTAATAGGAATATCCTAAATTCCATGCTAGTTTGAGCTACATAGACACGGCTTTCGGGAACTCCCATCTCCTAATTACCAAGTCCTAGAGATAGAAGCGATTTTTTTTCCCTGCTTGGTTGCAGGAGGAGCCAAAGGGGGCACTGAGGGGGACGGCGGCGGTGGGCGGGGAGCCAGGCCAAGGCTTGAGTCCTGTGCAGCCATTGGTGGGGAGTGCGAGCTGAACTGAGCATGTTCGCGCCCGCCAGCCAGGGCCGCAACCACAGCCGCAGGGACGGCAGCCGGGAGAGCCACCGCGCATTATGCAAAGCGGCAGCAGATGTGAGCGGGGCCAGCTGGGCGCTCCTCGGCCTCCCCTCCCAACGGTCGGCCCAGCTGCCTGAATTGTCCCCGACACTCCCCTGGCCCTGGCCAGGGCCGACATGGCCTGAGTACCCCCAGGCGCGGCGGCGCAGCAGCGGGGTTGAAACATGGGGAACCAGGATGGGAAGCTGAAGAGGAGCGCAGGTGATGCCTCCCACGAAGGCGGCGGCGGAGGAGCGGAGGATGCCGCGGGGCCCAGGGATGCGGAAACCACAAAGAAGGCAAGCGGGAGCAAAAAGGCGCTCGGCAAGCACGGCAAGGGGGGAGGGGGCGGCGGGGAGAGCAGCAAGAAGAAGAGCAAGTCGGATTCTAGAGCCTCGGTGTTTTCCAACCTGCGAATCAGAAAGAACCTGACCAAGGGGAAAAATGCAGGTGACTCGCGGGAGGATGTGCTGGACTCTCAGGCCCTGCCGGTCGGGGAGCTGGACAGCGCTCACTCCATAGTCACCAAGACCCCGGACCTCAGCCTCTCTGCTGAAGAGACGGGCCTATCGGATACCGAATGTGCCGATCCTTTCGAGGTGATCCATCCAGGTGGTCCTAGGCCTGCCGAGGCTGGGGTAGGGATCCAGGCGCCTGCGGAGGATTTGGAAACTGCGGCAGGAGCCCAAGATGGACAAAGGACCAGTTCTGGTTCGGACACGGACATCTATAGCTTCCACTCCGCTACGGAGCAGGAGGATTTGCTCTCAGACATCCAGCAGGCAATTCGCCTGCAGCAACAGCAGCAGCAACAGCAGCAGCAGAAACTGCTGCTCCAGGACTCCGAGGAGCCTGCAGCGCCCCCCACTGCCATTTCCCCTCAACCTGGGGCCTTTCTGGGCCTGGAACAGTTCTTGCTGGGACCTAGTAGCGAGGCTAGAAAGGATGCGGATCAGACACAACCGGTGAGACCCGACTTGCCTGAGACCACCAAGTCCCCTGTGACTGAGCATCCTCCGTCCTCTGGAGGCCACTTAGCCTCTGAGACTCCCGGCTACGCGACCGCCCACTCCGCAGGCACAGACTCTCTCTCATCTCCAGCCTTCACATTTCCTGAACCTGAGTCAAGGGAGGGCGCAACCGGAGCCCCAGCGCCCGAAGCTGGGGACACAGATGAGGAGTGCGAGGAGGATGCTTTTGAGGATGCTCCCCGAGGCTCTCCAGAGGAGGAATGGGTTCCAGAGGAGGGAGAATCTTCTCAGAGGCCGGAGGAAGAGCCGGAGGAGGGGATACGAGGGCCCAGTGTCTCTGCAGTAGCTTCTTTGCCTGGCAGCCCTGCGCCCAGCCCACGATGTTTCAAACCTTACCCACTCATTACCCCCTGCTACATCAAGACCACCACTCGGCAGCTCAGCTCGCCCAATCACTCCCCGTCCCAGTCCCCCAACCAGAGTCCTAGGATCAAGAAGCGACCGGAGCCTTCCGTGAGTCGGAGCCCCAGAACTGCCTTGGCCTCTGTTGCGGCCCCGGCAAAGAAGCACCGGTTGGAAGGCAGCCTCACCGGCGGCCTTAGCCGCTCAGCCGACTGGACCGAGGAGCTAGGCGTCCGTATGCCTGGGGCAGGAGGCTCTGTGCACCTGCTGGGGCGTGGGGCTACTGCGGATGAGAGTGGTGGCGGGTCCCCTGTGCTGACCGCCAAAGCACCTGGGGCTGCAGCGACAGCGGATGGCTTTCAGAATGTGTTCACAGGTGAGCACGCCTGCCACGTATCTCTGTGGCAGGTAGCCTGCCAATCAGGGCCTTCCTTTGCAACCCCGCCCCTCCACGTTCTGAAAGGCCCGATCTGCTATTTGGAGATCCTTTTGCCACCAGACATGTCTTTTGGGTGAAAAACCTTGGGTGTGCTTAGTTTTCTATTCTTTTTCAGAGGAGTAAAAAGAAAAATTTAGCTGTCTGTCCTACATCATCTAAAGAGAGGATTGTTAGGCTCCCCCCCCCCTCAGATTTCCTCTAAGCAATATTAACCCCTTTTGTGCCTTGTTACCTCTGCTGTCCTTCATGTCATTTTTTCCCATTCCATATTTTCACCGTTTTAGAAGACTAGACCTGTGCATAGACATTCTCAAGGATTTATATTGCAGGCACACAACATTTGTTCAAGAACATTCTAAAAGTTATGTCTGACAACCTCTAACATATAGTTTCTATTCTGTAGTGACCTGGGTACCACTCAAGTACTTTGTGACGTTAAGTGACTACCCTGTTTGCTAATGCAAGCAAGTTTGATATATACTCTTAGAAAATGAATAAATAATAGACCATTAGTAATCTGTTATTTATTTATGATTCTAAGGATTGAAAATAGGGCCTTTTGCTTACTAGGCAAGTACTGTACTACTGAGCTGTGTCCTCAGACTTTTGAGATCATTTTCGTTTTGGTAAAGGATCTCACTAAGTTGCCGAGGCAGGCCTTGAACTTCTCTTGCTCAGCCTCCCAAGTAGCTAGGATGTATCGATGTCATTCTGTTTTGTCAGCGAGAGCAGGCTGTTATGTGGAAATATTGAAGACAGGGAGCAGAAAGCATAGGAATCCCACTGATGCTGTCTTCCCCTAGCCATGTGGTCAGTGGACTTGTATCATAGACCACAACGTGGCTTAGCTTCCTGGGCTAAAGCTCAAGAAGTAGAAGAGTTTGCTGCTAATGTCTGTTGGCTTCCTGTTTGCTCAACATACTGATTATTGAAAAAACAATATTCAAATATGAAGACCAGGGGGAAAAAGCAGCATTTTATGCCAGTGTTTGTTGGATTTCAGATAAATACATGGATATTTAAAAATTTTAAATAGGCTATCAGTTGGATGTATAACAAGTGCCTGTCATCTCAGCATTTGACAGGCAGGGGTAGGAGGATGTAAGTTAGTTGAGTTCTTGTTGGCTAGAGGCTATAGTAGCTACTTTCTTAAACACATTCATTTTATTTTATTACTTTTGTGTGTGTGTGTGTGTGTTTGCTTTGCCTGAATGAATGTCTATGCACCATGTCTGTGCAAGGCCTGCAAAAGCAAAATAGGGCATCAGATACCCAGGGAATGTAGCTCAGGTCCTCTGGAAGAGAAGCCTGTGCTCTTAACCTCTGAGCCAATTTCCCGAACCTTGAGTTCATGTTTAGTTCACTGTTGTGATAGCCTTTATTTTGATTTTGTAGACTTGTAAAGCAGCCCTTGTTCGCTTTAGAGACTATTTCCATTTTCTTTCCTCCATGTTCTTTCCTGTGAAGATTTGCTGATAGCAGAAATTTGAAGTCATGGATCTGTTTGATGTAATAAGATAAAATTAAAACATTGGAAAACTAAAGGTCATATTTTTATGGATGATGATCCAAAGGTTCTTGGATAATGGCCTTGCTGTTTGGATTTCGGTTTTTGAGAGAGGGTCTCATGTATCTCAGCCTGGTTTCTAACTTCCTGTGAGCTGGAGGAGGGCCTTGAATGCCCACTCTCCTGCTTCTGCTTCCCACTGCTGGGAGTTCAGGCTTCTACTCTCAAACCAGGCTCTTACTTAGTAACTTGTGTGTGAGAGTTTATTTTATTTTGTGCTGATTCTAGTAACCTTCCACTTGTTAGACAAACACTTTAACAGTGAGCTACAGCCTTGCACACTGACTACTGAATCATGGCACTGGCTTCCCAAACTTTACTAAGTGGAAGGGAGGTACTAAGATGAGAGTCTGGGGTTCAGCTCTGCGGGAGAACAATTGCTTAGGATGTGCAATGGTTCGAGCTTTGGTACCAGTACTGAAAAAACCATCTATCCACCGATCATCTATCTATCTATCTATCTATCTATCTATCTATCTATCTATCTATCTATCTTCCTATCATCTATCTATCTGTCTAACTATCTATCTATCTACCTATCTATCTAATATCTATCATCTATTCAGCAATCACACAGGTGAAAGACAATTTCCCAGAGTTTATCAAGTCTAAAGCAGAAAGTGAGGCAATAGAACCTGTTAAATGAGCGCTTAACGAATTCCTGACAGATCATGATACCTTAAATATATTAAAGGTTTATTTCCCTTTTGCCAAAAGTGTTCTTATATCTTGGACATTCCTTAATTTTGCTAGTAATTTTAAATTTAAAATGTGGAACTTTTGAAGGTACTGCTTGGTAACACGAAAGCTTTGTTGGTTTCTTCGGGCATATTTATGTTATTATGCACAGTAAAAGTACTCTTGTGTGGCAGTCATCTGCCTTGTGTTAGGAGGTCAGAAATGGATTTTTGTGAAGCTGCTTCTTCATTATATTTCTTCCATTCACTCTGTGTTGCAGAGAAGAAGAACACAGTGAGTAGATTTAACTTAACTCTCTCAAGTGCAAACTGTGTGATTCGCTCCAAGGCGAATGGAGAAGAGGACACTGGCCACTGAGTCGCCTTTTCTTGTTACTAGTGTTTGTGTGTTTGGCACTAGATGACAGCTTAGAGAACAGGAATCTTTGAAAAGTCATTACCAGATCTGATGCCTTCGCAGACAAGCTATTTCTGGTTTCTGTTAGCAGTGGTTGATGATCTGACTATCCTTGGGATAAATGGGGGGTAAATTTTAAGGGAGAGAAAGCCGGGTTTCTCTTCTGAGACAGCTGTCAGGGAGACTTGTGCTGTGTGTGTGTGTGGGGGGATCTCCAGGTTAACCCTTTCCTTGCCACCTGTCTTTTTCTACCACTTTACAATCCTCTGCAGATTTATCTGCACTTTGAAAATTACCTGGGACTGAGGAAGCACTCAGGGAGCACTCCCTAAAGAGTGTTGTCCTTAAGGAACTAGATTTTTTGGTCTTAGTGTGGAGTTATTTAGATGAATTAATTTCCAGCTGCCTTTGAGTCAGGAGAGCCTTGTATCTTTTTGTTTCGCCCAGCATTCCTTAGCTTCCAGCCCTGGGGAAAGGAGCAGGCATTTCTCTCCTTTATTGCATTGTAGACTAGGGAAAATCCTTCAAGTGAAGAGAATCCCATGCCCAGGATTGTGTCTCTGGTAGACATGAAAACGGATAGCAATGAGGTGGTCTCATTTTAGCTGTGAAGAAATTAATGGCATTGCAGGGCATTCCATTTCGAGAATTTCATAATTAATTTATTTGAAATGTATCTTTTTTCAGTATTTAGTAGAAAGAATTTGAGAGGTTCCTTTTTGAAAAGTGGTCTTGGTGTCAAACTCAGGGCCTCTTTGATGCTCAGAAGCAATGGCTTTATAACTGAATTAGTTTCCTAGCCTAGTAATAGGGTGCAGTTAATTAAAGTTTGGACATCTAATATATTGAATTTGTGATGCTAAATCACTTTTGATAGAAATCTTTCCAGTCAATTATGCACTTAATCTGTCTCCCTTTTGAACACATGCAATGAAAGTTCCATCTGTTTTGAAGAGGCTTGCTGTCATCGTCAGGCACATCATTGTCTTGTGAAAGCCCTGGTGTTGGCCTGAGGAGCAGTCTAAATGTGTGCACCAGAGGCCACGGTCTTCTGTAGTTGAGATTTTGTATCTGTGTAGTTTCTTGACTTCTCCTTGGATATCACTTCTTTTATTCTTTAGCACTATTTTTATTTGCTTTGCCAGTCTTCCAAATTCCTTAAATTTTTTGTAATTGATTCTAAAAATCCTACAATTATGATGCTCTCTATATTTCCCGTGCTTCCTCTGCATGTCAGGCTCTGGGGTAGTGTGTTATGTAAGTATATGTAATCTTTGCCATAGTTTATAATATAGCTATGCCTAGTCACTTCTTCTATGAGCAACCAAGGCTCAGACGAGTCAGAGAAGCTGACTAAGAGCATTGAGCAAGTTATACTCTCCAGGGTATGTCCTTAAAAACAGTCCAGTCATTAGTGTGTAGAGAACAAAGCCAAGCAGACCACTGAGCTTCTGAAGGGCTAATTGACGAAGGACTGATTGGCAAAGGGCTTGAAATCTGTCACTCCCATTTTGGCTTTTTAAGGGTTACCTTATTTGCTGTTTTAGTAGAAAGAATGGGCCACTCAGTGAGCGTGTTTTTTCCTCACAGTACACTATCTCATGCACCTAGCTTTGAATCCACTAGTAAGGGAGGCTAGCCTTGAACTCCTGGTCTTCCTGTTTCCCAAGTGTTACAAATGCAGACATATGCCACCATACCTGACTCTACCCTGTGTATGGCTTCAATATACAGTTTTTTAAAGAATTATATTGAAAATTTTACAGCCCAAACAGTCTGGTAGAAGTAGCTCATGATAGAGTACAGTTAGTGGCTGACATAAATGAAGAAGATATTTTGAAAATTACGTTGTTGGGCTGGGTAAGGAAGCACACTGCTTTAATGTCAGCACTTGGGAAGCAAGGGGGGCAGATCACTCCTAGTCCAATGCCAGTCAATGTAAAAACAAAACCAAAACCACCCCACACCCCAAGTGAAGAAAGACAATGATGTCATTCCTCTGAACAAGCAAACAGGGGTGATGGATATTGTTGTATCGGGTTCCAAACACTAGAAAGAATTTGACAAGAGAACCTGTGACTAAGAGCATTGCTCTTATGTCATTTTAGCCTTGTCTGAAACATTCTTTAGAACCGTGGCTTGAATCAAAGTTAAATGCCCTAAAGCTTCAGTGGGTACATTGAATGACTGACTGCCTTATGACCTGAATTTTGGCTTGGTTTTAAATCCATTTAAGTACCTGGCTCTTTGCCATATGCATTTGAGATAGAACAGG